AAAGCTAGCTTGCATGTCAGTACTGTGAGCCTTCCGAAGCATTTTCTCTGTACTGATGTTGAAACATGAGACAAATCTTTCCTAGAAATTCAGTTTATGTCTCCATCAGGTATTTCTGGAACTCAGGAAATCAGCTTTATTTTAAACTATTAAAGCACAGCATTTGGGGGTTTTTAACGAGTCTTCTTTTAAAATGCTTGTCAGGGTATAAGCTCGGTAATGGTAGAGACTCAACTGAAATTCAGAGATTTACTGTGATTAGCAAGCTACCGATCATCAGCTGATCCAGAGCAACTTGCAACATTTATTGTCTCCCTATTATGAAATAAAATTGCATTAGCTTAAACCTACACATCCTGTTTTTCAGACTGAAGCATCCTAAGATTTCCTAATCAAAACCAGGACTGAAAAACCAGGAGTATTCCCTCCCAGCAAGCACTCCTCCAGGAGAACCCGTGCTGGCAGAAGCCCAGTGCTGTGCCCCAGGAGAACAGAGCAGATTTTCCACGTTGCTTTTAAGAGTAACTTCTGGTACTATCAATACTTTTTACACTACTCTGCTTAGTAGTTCTTCAAGATGATTTTCCTCATGTTCTTTTTATTTTTAGATGTTCTTCAAGTAGCTTAAGTCAGGAACGGAAGTTGAAAATGTTTTCATGCGTATGCTTGATGTGTTTCTTTCATACGGACAAATCTTTTCTGAATAAAGACCAACAACATACATGTAAAGTCTTGTGGCGTGGACAACAGCTACCTTGCACTTATAGTCCGATAGCTGCTTTAATAAAAACAAACACCTAAAAACATCACAAGCAGCACAAACCACTGTGTGCGTAACCTCCTCCACCAAAAACTGCTGGTGCAGACTGATGTGAAAGCTGACCCACATCACCAGTACCTGGACAACTCTGTTCAGGCAGCCTGAACATTTTACAAACCAAACTGAGAAAACGAGCAAGCACGGATATCTAAGGGGAGAGCAGGGAAGGGCAGGAAGCATACAGGAGATCAGGAGTCACTCTTCACTCATGCAGCACAGTTCAGTGACTCAGCAGAGACTCATTGCCAGCCAAGGTTATCGAATTTCTTCCTCTCTTTAAACTTAATTTTGCATTTCCCGTTCTATTCCCTTGGTACCATGTCCTGCTTTGAGCCAGCCTCCCCAAAAGGGGCGTGCTGCTTTTCGACTGTCCCTCATTTCACGAGCCAACCATATTTCCCCTACCCTTCCCTCTTATTCCTGTGAATTAGCTACTCCAGAAAGGGTAACAATCGCCTAAAGAATTTATTTATAATGTCCACACTGCCTCATGAACGTCAGCCACCATTTGCAAACGCGGGCTATTTTTTTGCATAATGAAAGAAACACATAAATCCTGTTTCCACACTGAACTCAAGGAACGGGGAGTTACACCGGCGCAGGAACGAGCCCCTGCTGCAGGCGACCTTGCTCTCGCGACAACTGCAGAAGGGGCCAGGGTCCCTCTTCCCCGTAGCCGTCCTCACAAGATGCCACTATAAGGAATGGTTGGGGCAGGGATGCCGGACTACGGCAGACAGCAACTTCAAAGCAAACCACAAATGCTGCTTGAACAGCTAAGTGCTTCCCCCTGTTCCTACGCAGTTCGACACGCTGCCGATGCTTTGCCACGACCGCCGCGCCGTCGCCGACGGCTGTCTCTGAATAAATGAACGCCAGAAACCCGCACTTTCGAGCGCAAAGTGCTACGCACACGTGGTGCTCACACCGCACGCCCTCTGCCTCAGCAGGCGTTTTTAATAGTGTTTGCATTCAGTACCAGGTGGGTTTGCTCGCATCCATTTTTTCATTTTCTCAGTATTTTGAACGCTGGCTTCAACATTTCTGTTGGGGAGCAAGCGCCTCCAAAGGCATCGGAGGGGACAGGTACGTAGCAGCGAGCCATGCCGTAGGGAGGCAACGGCAGCACGCGCGCAGCACCCACAGCCGGCGCTGGCGTCGCACCATGGGTGCCGCTGGGCAGTGCTGGCAGAGCTCCTTTTAAATGGCAACTGAAAATTAAGGGGGAAAAACGTTTTCTGCAAGCAACCAGGCAGGAACTGACAGAGCAGGGGTGGGAAAGGCGTGACTGCCAGCGCAACAGGTCCCGAGCTCACCGGCTCAAAACAGAAACTCAGACCCTGCAAGCGCTCAGTCTCAGAGTTTACAAATCTCTGTCTTATTGCAACGGACAGGTGGACTTCATAATTGACATGAGCTCCTAGCCCTTATAGCTCTTGTGTCTACTTCCATTATTTCTTCTCTATTTTTCTTCTCCCACACATACTGAATATATACAGAAATAAAAATTTCTGTATAAATTCAGTGTTTTGCAGTGAGAAGGATCCCTAAACACCAGTTAACTAGATCTTACAAGTTGCTGGATCTAGAGCCACGACAGCCTCCCCTTTATATTAAATCATTACAGTGGCTGCAATATTCCCCAGGTTGAGTATAAAATTTACATTAAGTTCTGGCACACACTAATGTGACCTCACCAAAGGCTGTTAATGAAATGTAGCTCTGCTCAAATTCACCACTGCTAGCCATCTATGAAAGCCCTGCCTGCAGAAAACTACAAATATATCTCAAACGGAAAACGTTAAAAATACCCTCAATAGTCTCTTCTGAAGTAAGGGCAGTTTTCAGAAAGATAAAAATGGCTTTTTAAGACTTTTTATTTTGTATTCACCTATTATGGTCTTCAGCATTTCCAGCTGAAGCCTCAACTCACAGACCAACCCAATACAGTTAACTCAGACTAGAAAATACTGGTTGAATTAATTTTCCTACACTTCTAGAGGTTTATTTTCAGCTACAGGAGAGGAAAAAGTGATAGCTTGTTAGAACAACGGAAGCACATATAGATCATATCAGAAGGAAGTCCAACCTAGAAACAGAAGGTTTAGATAAGCTACTATAAAATGAAAAAGGAAAAAAGAAATAAGCATAAACACCTGTTCAAATGTCTTGAAGCTGCACACGCAGAAGGAGGACATATGACACAGGCATTTCTATTTGACCATAAAACTTGTGCTACATTAACAGTGTTACACTGGATTTTCTCAGGAAACACGACATGCCTAGACACATACTGTATTCCTCCTAAAAATTCACCTGTCAGCAAGCTATGCCTTCAGTCACGTGCAGCATTGTAAATTAGTTCACTTACACCCACTGTTAATGGGAATTTGACAGATCCAAGCCTCAGGAATCTGATTCTAGTTATACATGGCCAGTAGTCGATTCATCAATGCAAACAGGCAAAGAAAAGGACTACAAAGCATAAGTATTTGATTATTTTTTTTTAAAAGCACAGCTCCGATAGCACTGCTCAGATTAAACTCCTAGAATCGCATCATTAATTACCCTAGAATAATCTGCTTCTGTGATTTTTAGAACAAAGAACAGCAAAGCAATGAATTCTCCACACCAATAAAACCAAGGGGGTTTCACGCAATTCCTCAGTTTTTCCTTTAGTTAAAGAGTTTATTGATCACCTTAAAAGACAAGGGCCACTATATCCTACATCATTACCACTGGGCTAACACTTGGAGCACATCGAACTGCCTGGAGATTTACAGGAGAGCCTAATGGCATCTGCTTCTGCTCAACTGGCAGCAATCCCTTCTGCCCTCATACTCCTGCCAATATCTGTGTAAAAGGCCTCTTAACTTAACACCCCAATAATTCATATCACCTCTGTGTGAAATACGATCTAAACTTACGATTCATAAAATTGAAAACACATTAGAACACAAAGTGATAACGCCAACAAAATGAGACCCTGTTAATTCTTCTGCAAATGCGACTGACATTTTCCATGGGAAGTATCTCGTTCTGAATAATCGCACATTATAAAATCCTCACAGTGATTTGCTGATGCTTTAAAAAAGATCAGTAGTTTTTAGGAAATCTTTTAAATCAAAGAGATAACAGTTTCATTACAGTAATATATAAAATGTTTCATCAATAACTGTATCAAGAAGAAGCAACAGAAAGAGTTTTAGGGTCTCCAAACTTCAGAAAGAATTTAAAAAACAAAAAAAAAAGAAGAAGGAATTGAGGAAAGCATTGTGTCTGCCTCTACAAAAGATTACAAGTTATTGAAAAACTAAGGCTACCTGTAAACAAGCAAGGCACATACCAGGGTAAAGATCTCTTTAAAAACAACATTGCTAGGGAAAAATTTGTACTGATTTGGCACTCTGCATCATACATTGCAACACTTTTGATCCAGTATGCAGAGCTCTCAACCTAAATATGACCTTGCATGGAACAGCAAACTTAATGCAGGATTCTCTTGCTCTCAGCCAGCATTAAATGGCAAAGAACATGGCAATGACGAGGGAAAAATCTCCTGCAGCCAGGAGAGAAGTATTTGGGGAGGTTAATGTTCTGCAGTCGTAACCGAATGTTGTTTCAGTGAATCACATTTTGGTGCTATGAGTAGGCAAAGACCACAGTGCTGAAGCCTCTGAATGGCACTGCTCAAAGGTTAACCATCCTGACCCTATACAGGAAAAATGCAATGACAGCAAAGAAGTGTTGCTTTTAGTTAACTACACACTTGAAACACAAATAATGGATTGTGTTTACAAAAATGAAGCCATTATTTTCCACTAACCGTGCCAACTTTAAGAGAAATCTGAAGACATAGGAAGGAAGGTCTGTGGGTATGAGGGAAAATTTTAGAATTTTCCTGAAAATTCTATATTCAATTTTTGGCTGGGTAACAAACCTATTGACTTACGCTGCACAAATATTTGTTCTTTGTGAAAAACAAAGGTAAGACTTCTCCTTATTATAAAGTGGAGTAAGACTTCCCTTCAGGGAACGAAGGCCACTTCATATGCACTTTGCGAACACTTCACATTAAAACGGGGAGAAAGTGACATTCTGACCAGTGACAGAATTTAGAACTTTAGGATGAAAACTTCTTTAAACCAACACCAAGAGAGAACTAAGAAATGACACGTACCTTATCTACTGGGAGAAAGTCATTTTCAACTTCTATCGACCTTGGTCGTAGCTTTATAGGTTTGTCTTTGAAGATATCTCCAAAGCCAACACCCTTGACCTTTTTGGGTTGGATTGTCGTGCCTCCGTTGGCGCCTTCCGATTTTGTGCTGCAAGAGTCACCACCATCACTCTCAGAGCCTGTAGCATCTTTTAGGCCTGTGAAATGGAAGGATGAAAGAAGGAATCTTAGGTTTGAAGCTCACTATTTTCAAAACAGATTGTGACTGGAAAATGATCCCTACCACCATCCTCTAAAGGAAAACTAAACCACAAGAAACAGGTAGAGAAGATGCTCTCTGTGCCATGCACTCATTTGTGAGTTTCAAAAATCACTCTATTTCATCACATTGGTGTACCAGTTAGAACTTACACCAATGAACAAAACATGCATACTCCAGCACCAAAACTTCATGAATGAAGATGGCCATTCCTTGAGTACCAAGAAAATCCTTCTTCCTCAGACAAAAATTGTTTGGAAGAGAACTCAATAAATGAAAGAGTTAAATTCAGTTGTAGGGCAGCTATTGTACAAAGCCGCTTAAAGCTAACAAGCAATTAGACCAGGCGAGCTGTACCTTAAATCTGTATGACTCATATCAAGCCAATTATGCAATTAGTATCTAAAGCTACATTACCTAACCGGGAAATACAAAGCTGAAAGCTGTTCAAACAAATTTGCAATCAAATAAGCTGCATAATATGTTCCCTGCTGAAAATTAAATCTCTCTGCAGCATAGACAGCCTCATAAGAAAAGCACCCATGCACACTATCCTCTAGGAATATAATAAATCAAAACTGACATTCTGATTTGCATTACTTCTCTCAGTGATTAGGAAAATTTATCTGCACTTATCTGAAAATATCTGCTGTTTGAATAGCAGAGGCCACAGATGCAATATGGCGATGCTTCAGCCACTTTACAGAACGGTGCAGAATCAGGCCAAACAGTCACTAGCAGCAAAAGTGACCCACTGAAGTTTCCTCCAATTGAAACAGTCCCCTGGATCATTTAAATCTTCCTTCCTACAGTACACATTGTCTTCACTATGTTTCCAGGAAAACCACAGCAATTGCTGCTACTACAGCACTCATTCTACCTAAGAATAACAAACTCAGATCCTCACATTCCCCTCACAAGCATTCGTGGTGCCACAGATGTGGATCTTACAAGTCAAAGAAAGAAAAATTTAAAGTAAGCTTATCTTCTTAATTATTTTTATATCAAGGTCCACAAAATGAGTGCAATGGATTTTCATCATAAGATGCTACCTGTACAGAAGAAAGATTCTTCTTTAAAATCTAGACACCTAAAATCAAGTAGAGATTATATACAAATCTCTTTCCCTCCTCCCTTTGGTAAGCAAGTAATGTTACCCCAAAATTATCTGTATTTCTGCCAAAGGAAAGAAATGGCACTAAGATTGGGCAAAGTCTACTGGATCCCTAGAAAAGGGCTGCAAGTTGTGGAACACATGGGAAGTTTTATAAAATCTACAGTTTCTACAATTCTCTGATGTGTATAAGCAACAGAAACAGAATGAAGCAGTGTTCCTGAGCTGAAAGCATCTGAGTATCATTTCCAGCCTACCTACACTAGAACAACTCTTCAAAACCAAATAGAGGAATTACCTAAATAAAAAATATTTTGGTCAATTGAAATCTTTATGAATAAAAATTTTAATATTAACAATCGAATCCTTTGGTTTTGCCTCTCCAGTTCAAGTGATGACTTTGGTTTCAACAAACAGCCTCCATCCAACAACTTTCTGCCATGCTGGCGAGCAGCAACTTGTTTTGGGGGGGACTTCTTGTCTTCCTGGCAATTCGCTGCTCAGCTACATGACTACCCAGTAGAACACAGCATCTTCTTCAAGGGCTACTTTAAGCTTCTCGGGTGAACCACAGAAACCAGTGCAAGTCCCAAGGCCTACAGGCACAACTTGGCAATCCAGGACGCGAGGGGCTCATCTGTTAAATTGGTTTCAACACCAGGGTGCTGCTAGGAAATGAAATCAGGAAGTATGTGTCAGACCAGGATTTTTACCAAAACTGTTAAGCAGAAAGGTCATCATATGCTGCTCTGAGATCTTCTGTATCCAAAACATGAAAGGAGTATAAATGCGGAATTAGATAAAGTACCCAACTGGAAACAAACAAAAAGACTAAAGACTAAGGAAAACGCTTAAGCCCTCTGGCCTCCTCAGAGCCTGTTGCATCTGCCTGTTGAATGTAACGTTTTTGTTTCTTTGAGTGTTCAATTTAGGTAGCGCTCAACAAGTTTTTTGTTCCATAAGCTGTGCAGGATTGGAATTTAAAAGAAAACTAAATAATAATATTACAATTCTTTTCTTAAATATGCAGGGGTCTTGATCTCTACTTGGACGTTTTCAGTTTCCCAATAAGGGCCTGGGGAAAACTTCGAATCTGGTTTCACTCGTTTATTATGGTAGTTAGAACAGTAGTATTGCTGCCATCAGTAAAGTAAATTCTGTGCGCTCCTTCTCTTCCAGAGCTCATGAAAGCATTCACTGCCATCCTGCTCCGGGCTGTGGTTGGAGGGAGGGGAGAGGTTATCCGTAGCACAGCCATTCCACGATGCAGAGGCACTCAAGAGGCAAGGGTAAATTAATTAAGCCAGAGGGGTATAAATCTCCTCAGGCAACACAGCAAAGTCACCACCTCTTTCTTATTGCTACACCTTGTTGTGACTCGGGCAGTAACAGAAGACGCTGTAAGTTCTACTAGCTGGACCTTCCCCAGCTTTGCAAAGTATCAGTCACCAGGACCCTGGCTGAGACAGAGACTAGAACCAACTTTATTTACTACTTATAAATGCAAAGAGAATGCCCACCAATCAACTACACTGAGTTACAAATAATATTTCTGAGTATAAAACATCCACAACTCAAAAGACTCGAACAAATCACAGTGATCATCGCCTCTTTGCTGAACAAAAGATGTTGATACAGGATGGCAAAATTACCCTCTGGCAAAGGTTCCTTCTTTCATCCTTGCCAAAATCTCCTCGAACTGCTCTGTGATGGATGGAAGGAGCAGTGCAGAGATGTCCCTCCACAAGTAACTGGATTCTAACTGATAGAAACCATGACTGCTCTTAGCCACTCCCTGAAATGAACAAAAAAGCTATCTTTAAAATAAATAATTAAAATAGATTTTCTGCATCACTAATTGTGGGAGAAGAGGACCTGGATCTTGGGCAGTGGATGGAAGTAAAATATGGAAGTAATTATAGGAATTACTCAACAGGTCTCACATGGACTTCCAGATCTTTGAAGCCTGCATGAAAGAGATATCAGAAACCTCAAGGGGCTCCAGTAAGAATTAGGCTTTTGTTTCTGGGTCATCACTTGTTTTTCATTATGTTCTTCATCTTTTATGACCATTCTTCTATGACGGGACATCACACCTTGTGTCAGAAACCTCACCTCAGGCTTAAAACAGATTTCCCTAGCATCCCCCATCTGTGCTTGATGATAATCCAAGAGTCATTTCATTCTCTATGCTGCCACAGAGCTTTGTCTCAGTATACAGTCCTCATAACAAAGCAACATAGGACATAGCAGCATTTTTTTTTTAATTTTTTTTTTTTAAATGAAGACAGAATGGACTGAAGTGATGCCTGTCCAAACTAAACTGCATTTGAGTGGCTGGATACAGAGGCCAGCCTTACAAAGCTCCTTCAAAGTTAAAAGAATTCTTCCCGATCAACCGGAAAATGACAATATTGACACAAACGACACAAACTGAGAAGCCCTCTGGACTTGAATAAATAAATAAGCAAGAATAAAAGCCCTGGCTTTTCCAAGAACTAGCCTGCTCTTGTTCTTATCACTTCATGGCTGAGGGCAAGAGGCAAAGGTGACAAAAGAGGAAGACTATATGCAGCGGAAACTGAGAACAAATTAGATAAAATTAAGATCTGCAGTAACATTAAGAAACAATAATGCAGTGCTCAAGTACAAAACAGTCCTGCAGAAAATAATCTCACATGCTCTTACTCTTAAAGACGTGCTAAGGACACTCTCTCTTACCTTCCTCCCAAGGCACATGAGATACACACCTGTGCTTTGTACAGATAAAGAACCTGCAAGCAAGGATTTGCAACACTATGTCTACCCTTGCCTGACAAATTCTCTGCTCTCATTTATTTTTTCATTGGGTTGTTCCCTCATCTCTCTCTCTCTCTGTATCTCGCTCTCTATGTCAGCATATCTATGTCAGCAATTCTCTCGGAGCAATCCTGCCAAGTGCAGCTGCACTGGCCTCCCCAGCCCTGCCTACACAAGGAAGGGATGGCTGATGGCTGAGGTGATCTCTCCTCTTAAAGCGGAAAAACATCCCCCTTCCAAATACCTGGCTTTTGTTTTTTTTCCTTCAGCTTTTCATGGCCTTTTTTGCCACTACTGCAAACAGCTTAGTAGGAGAACAGAGCTGCGTGGATCGTTTCCCCAAAAAACCGATGTAGCCCATGAATACAGCTGGGAACTAAGCAGGAACCTGAGTGACCTAGACTGTCAGATTATGAACTTTAAACATGACATTTTCTTCAAGAAGAGCTACAGCTAGCAGGGAGGTCAGGTTGCTAAATGGGCATTGCATTAAAAACTGGAGAGCATTTCAGGTGGCACGGTCACCTGCTGCTGCCGACCAATACACCCACGCAGTCTGGCACGGCTGTGCTAGAGCGATGCGCTTGAGCACTAAGGTAAGGCCAGCAGCTCAGCAAACTGCTGTCCTCTGAAACACCGAGCACATCTTGCTCTTCTTTAACTCTAGTTATTAAATACTTCAAATATTGCCAGGATAGGATAAAAGCTACAGCAGTCAGACCTCTCGCTATTTTATTTTTTTTTAACTTTTTATCAGCAACTTTTCTAGAATCTCTGTCAGCACTTGGACGGCTGACAAGCCAAGAATGTAACATCAACAAGGTGCTCACTAACGTGTCTACTACCACACCAGTCCTAATAGCAGGAAAATTTTTCAGATCTCTCAAATTTCTCAAGAAGGAGATAAGTCTTTTGGGGTGTCACTTCCCACTTCTGGCTCTATAAGCACAGACACTTTATTCTTTTACCTAGATTTATTGTTGCTGAATCATCATTGCCACAAGGTAGAGCTCAAATCTGAGTGT